GGGCCTACCGCCGGCTCCCGCCTCGCTCGCGGGGCCTGGGAAGGGCTCCGCCCTGGCGAGGGGGTTTCTGTGACTGCGCGGGAGCCGCTGTCCAGCCTGAGGCTGTGGGTGCGGAGCCCGGCGCTCGCCCGTTGCTCCCGTCCTTCCGCTTCATCTTCACGGCAGCGCCGGCGGTGAGTGCGCGGGTAGCGCCCCTCACAGGGCGGAGATGAAGCCGAGGGGACTCGCTTGTCCCAAGTCCCCAGCTCTCCCGAGGGCCGGGCGACTCCGACCGAGAGCCCTGACCGCGCTGCCTCCCGGCGCAGGCGGACGCTGGCCAGGTGGAATCTCCCGGTGTCTGCAGCGCCTCTTTGGGTTGGGGGCCCCACTCTCTGGGGTCAGCTTACTTCAGGGCGTGCTGTGTATGCGGGTTCTGTGCTACCTGGGGCCGGGGTTGGACCCGAAATAAACTCAGAGTTCAGGTTCAGGGGTCGGCAAACTTTTGTTGTAAATACAGTGGCTTTCATAATATTATTATCATGCCCTGTGACTATAATAAGTCTAATTATACTTAGTGTAAGTTTTTGGGGGCCGTACTTTGTCTGCTTAGCTCCGAATGAAAGTGGGGAGAGGGGGCATCCTGGTCTTGTTTCTGATCTTAGAGGAAATGCTTCCAGCTTTTCATCATTGACGATAATGTCAGCTGTGGGTTTGTCACATACGGCCTTTATTAAGTTCCCTCTGTGCCCACTTTCTGGGGAGTTTTTATCGTAAATGGATGTTATCGGAAGCCTTTTCTGCAATTATTGAGATGATCATACGGTTTTTTTCCTCTTTTTTTTTATTTTTATGAGGGGGAGGTAATTGGGTTTACTTATATTTGGAGGATTGAACCCAGGACCTCGTGCATGCTAAGCATGCACTTTACCACTTGAGCTATACCCTCCCTCCATTTATCCCCCCTGCCGCCCCGGTTTTTATTCTTCAGTTTGTTAATATGATGTATCACATTGATTGATTTGCGGATATTGAAAGATCCTGGGATAAATCCCACCTGTTCATGGTGTGTGATCTTTTTAATATGTTGTTAAAGTCGATTTGCTAGTGTTTTGTTGAGGATTTTTGCATCTATATTCATAAGTGAGATTGGCCTGTAATTTTCTTTTTTTGTGGTGTCTTTGTCTGGTTTTGATATCAGGGTGATAGTGGCCTCAGAATTCAGAAGTGTTGCTTTGTCTACTTAGCTCTGGTATTGTACTGAGAGTGGTGGTGTTGCAATACAGTATAGGGACACTATTTGAATTTTATGTTTTATGTAATTCTCACGTGTCACAAATATGAATTTCTTCAACCATTTAAAAATGTAAAAAGCTTTTTTTTTTGCTCTTGGACTGTACAGAAACAGTGGGCTAGTTAGCTTGTGGACCCCTGGTCTAGTCCGAAGCCTCAGACAGTGGAGGAAACTGAGATCCAGAGAGGGGCATCTTTGGCCAAGTCAGTCACACAGCCGGGTAGTGCCCCAGCTGAGCTGGAGACCTAGGCTTCCCAACTCCCAGGGCAGGTGAGGAAACATCACCACTTATCACTGGATCAGCGCATGAGGTGTTTAGTGTGCTGCGGTTATGTGTCCTGAAAGCCACGGAAACCAGCCTCTATTAAAGAGTCTGGAAACTTGTTAGGTTTCACTCCTGGATGTGCTATTCTGAGAAAATGCAGCTGCTCTGCTGGGAGTCTGAGAAATGAGTACTGGATACTTTTTTTTCTCATCTTTATGCAAAAGCTGCTTGCTTTTTTACTATGTTTTTTAAAGCTCCTTTAAGTGGGGTTCTGAGGTCTGTGGTGAATAATATGGACATGGTCCTCATCCTCACGTTGCTTACAGATGATGAGTACATAATCTCAAGTGGTTATTTCTTTTTGGGGGGCGAGGGTAACTAGGTTTGTTTATTTAATTATTTATTTATTAATGGAGGTACTGGGAATTGAACCGAGGACCTCATATATGCCAAGCAACTGCTTTACTGCTAAGCTATACCCTCCCCATCCTTCCACCTATCCCCTTTCTTTCTTTCTTTGTTTTTTTCTTTCTTCCTTTCTTTCTTTCTTTAGCATTCTTTTTCATTGAAGTATAGTCAGTTTCCAGTGTTGTGTCAATTTTTGCTGTACAGCATAATGTTTCAGTTATACATAAATATATATATATGTTGGTTTTCATATTCTTTTTCATTATAGGTTACTACAAGATATTGAATATAGTTCCCTGTGCTATACAGAAGAAACTTGTTTATCTATTTTATGTATAGTAGTTAGTATCTGCAAATTTTGAACTCCCAATTTATCCCTTCCCACCTCCCCTTACTCCCAGTAACCATAAGTTTGTTCTCTATGTCAGTTCCCCCTTACCTCTTTTTAGAGTTTTCATTTTAAACTACTTTTAGATTTAGAGAAAAGTTGCAACAATAACACAGTAAGTGTCCATCTGTCTCTCACCCTGCTTCCCTAATGGTAGTATCTTACATAATCCTGGTACAATTATCAAGGATGGGAAACTAATATTGATACAGTTATTATTAACTCAACTACATACCTGGTTGGAATTTTCACCAGGTTTTCCACTAGTGGTCTACTTTCATTCCAAGATCTCATAGTGCGTTTA